TTTAAACGATCTAAAAATAAGCATATATCTAAAATTAGATCTGTTGTCCGAAAAAAGACAAAAAATTTCTAATAAAAATTTAAACAAAGCAATTATTAAAAAATTTAAACAAAATAATCGTACATATACACCTGATTTGTTTCACTAGCTACAAATATAAGCACTACAGGTCAAATATCAATAGCATCAACAGTACAATGTACAAAAGAAATAGTAGCATTTCTTACTGGTTATTCTCCTCAATCATGGTTATCTGCAAGTACATTATCTCGATAGACAAATGAAGTAGCACAAATTTCTGTACAAGATAATTTACCTCAACTTTCTAGCTGATTTAGTTCATATGGTATTCTAGCAGATGAAAGTACAAGAGGAGAAAAAAAAATATTTTTAGTATGTGTCTCTTACTGGAATGAAAAAAACAAGAACCTATGCTTACTATTCTTAATATGAAAGATATAGACCAATGTTCAGTATTGACGGTTTCTTCAAGTGTTGGAGAAGCTATTATTAAAAATTCATTAAATCCAGCTCAATGCCAATATTGGCTTACAGATAATATGGCTTATATGTCTGGATCAACAGCTGGTGCTGTAGTTAAATTTAATAAACAATATTTTACTAATACTTTTCGAATTCCCTGTGGGCTGCACGCATTACATATAGTTTCAGTACATTTCAATAATATAACTTTTGAAAAAACTAAATCGTTATCTGGAATTTGTTTAAAACTGCATCCATTTAATGTTCTTAACTTAGCTTATTACCTTCATTGCGGATACAATGATTCTGATAAGGACAATCCACTAAATATGAAAACAGAGATGATTAATGAATTATATAAAACATTAATAAATCATGATCTTAAAAAATATCAAAAACCGATCTCTAGTTGTTGGTTATATCAATTAACTACGGCTAAACAGTATTTGAGTCAAAGAGATATTCACTTACAATTTTCTAGTTTGTTTATTAATCAACTACAAATGGCAAATAATGTTCCTGGAAGTTATTTAGAAAAGTGGAAAGCATTTTATAACTTCTTGCAAAATTAAATATAGAAATTCAAATTATGGCCTATTATGGTGAAAGGTTTTATGAAAAAGTAATGTTTTTTTTTAATTGGTAAGGACACGAATTTTACAAATCTTCCAAATGGATTTAGAGCAAGTGAAATGCCAGATAATTTAGAGCAGTGGATTCATGAATTACAAACAGCAATAAAACATCCAGATGAAGATTTTGTAGAGGAATTATTATTGGCCTACGAAATTTTACCTAAAGATGAATTTATTGATTTTAATAATAGAATTGAAAATGGGTTAATAAAAGCATTAGAGGCATTCAAAAAATGGATGGACCCATGGACACATTTACCTCTTTCTATATGTCGGCTTGGAGAAATTCATGGTCCCGATTTTGCAGTTGCAGTTATTAAAGTTATATTAAATATTCAATTTTCGAATAATCTTACAGAAATACAAAAAGAATATGTAGACAAATTAGAAGATGATTTGGAAACAAAAAAACAAGAATCCTTTGGTTTATTTCAGGCATTAGAAGATAATGATTTTCATGAACAATTTTTGGCCTTTTCTCAGTCTACTTATACTGAAATATCTAATTACCCACTAGTATATGATTTTATCAAACATAGAATTTGGCCCATAATCGTCCATCAGCAGCATCTTGAGGGAATGTTTAATAAATATGATCTCAAAACTCATCCTAATATGTCTATAAGATTACAAGAATCAAGAATGCAACTTTTGGGACCTAAACCCTTTGAAACTTCACTTACTCTAGAAAAACTATCAAATGTTCGTTTAAAAAATAAGCAGAAAAGAGCTATAATTGAAGATGAATCCATTGATAGAGAACAAACTGCAATTAAAAAACTTAAAAAAATTTTA